CCACAGCTTAGAGGGAGCCTTGACAGCAACCCCCGTGTTCTTCTCCTGGAAGCCCTGGATTTTGTAGCCCCATGGGTGCACATCTATGGGACTTAATTCCACCCCACCTCCCAAGTTTGTAGTCTCTGAGGCCATCAGTGAGAACAGGGGAGACTCCAAAAGCATGAACCCTTCGGACCGCACACCCAAGTTCTCATCGATAAGGGAAAGACCAACATTTGATTGCAAAATCTTTCCAAACCGGATTTTGTGACCATCCCGAAGAATTCACCGCCTCCCCAGAGTCAACATACCTCCGGCAGCAACTGGGGCCGACAGTCTTCGCTTGGGGTCTCGGACTTCAAGTCGCGGCAACGAACGCAAGAACTCTTGCTTCAGCCGAAGGGCCTTCTCTTCCTCAAACTGCTTCTTCTGTTCAAGGGGGAAAGAGTTCCAGACTCTGAGTGAGCGGTTTAGAAACCGCTCAGAGCGTCTTCTTCCCTAAGGCCCAGCTCTTTCAGAGGTGGTCACAGTCTTTTGCACCTTTATATATGGTGCTGGAGAAGACCCTTGAGAGTCCCTTGGACTGAAAGGAGATCCAATCAGTCAATCCTAAAAGAAATCAACCCTGACTGTTCCCTGGAAGGCCAGTTAATGAAACTGAAGCGCAAATACTTTGGCCACCCAATGAGAAGGGAGCACTCACTGGAGAAGACCCTGATGCTGGGAAAGATTGAAAGTCAAAGAAGACGGGGAGGGCAAAGGATGAGATGGTTAGACAGTGTCACCGATGCAACGAACATGAAGTTGAGCCAACTTCAGAGGACGGTGGAAGACCGGAAGGCCTGGCGGGATCTGGTCCATGGGGTCGCGTAGAGTCGGACTCGACTGTGCGACTGAACAACAACAACAGAGTGTCTTCTTCCCTAAGGCCCGGCTCTTTCAGAGGTGGCCACAGTCTTACAAGGCTATACCACTTCGGACTGTGGCAGGCAGGAGTCGACAGGGCCCAGCATCCCTCCGTACAAAAATAATTAACTGCATATCGAGGGCAAGCTACGGGGTTCGAACCAGACTAAGATTTCTGCTAACTTGAGCAGGTTGGTGTCGTGGTTAAGTGGGTGGACTCTAATCTGGGAGAACCGGGTTCGGGTTTGATTTCCCACTCCTCCATTTGCAGCTGCTGGATTACCTTGGGCAAACCATAGTTCTGCCAGAGCACTTCTGGAAAGAGTACTTTCTCTCAGAGCTCTCTCAGCCTCACCTACCTCACAGGGTGTCTGTTGTGGCGAGGGGAATGGAAAGGAGATTGTAAGCCACTCCTATGTGGGGTATAAATCCAATCGTTTCTCTTCTACAAGCGACTTAAAACAAAACCCACGGCCGCCTACCTCCCACCCCAGCCGAATGGCCGCCTCCGTGAAGTTCCTCCGCTCCACCTCGAACGCCTGCTGCTGCTCCACAAAGATGGCGCGCTCTTCCTCCAAGCGATGCTCCTCCTCCAGGAAGTAGGAACCCTTCAGGTGACCCGGAAGCTCCGCGTTGACCCAGGCGTCCAACTGCTCCTGGAAGCGAGAGAGACCCACCAGTAGGGAGGGGCAGAAACAAAACCAAAACCACTGCACTGCCTCTTAGGAACCCACATGCCTGGGACACGGGTCCGGCCCTCCCGCTACAACCTCATAGCTGTTTTACATCACATTAACTCTCAAAACATATTCGGAGTCACTGTTCGGGAAGGCTGTTGCGAATTCCATCAAGGGTCCCCCCCGTCTCCAACCACCCCCGAATGCCCAGGAACCCATATGAAGCTGCCCATATGAATCTATAAACTGATTGCGGTACTTGCAGAAATTGCACATAAAATTCTGTTTTCATATTCTGAGGTTTAATGATCTGTCAGTTTGAGATTTTCCGAGTCGAACGGCAGTGGAATAGCAATAGGGAATTTATGAATAAATAATTCCGTTGTAATGAAGAGATCTGTGTGGGTCAGGCTGCCTTTACTGATACTGTGCTGTTGCTGAAAAGCTTTTTATGCTCCAATGGTACTCAAAACATCTACCTGATAAAAATTCAGATGGCTGCAATGGCAATGCGTCAAATTAAACATCTTAACTGTGTATCTCATTTAAATGTAATAAGGCAGTATTATATGTGCCTTAAAGTTTCAACTGATCATTCATATTCCATTTCTTGAAGACACGTCTTGTTTGTGAGTCCATATCTATCAAATTTTAAGTATTCTTTGCACTATCGATGTGATCCCAGTGCCTCAGAGCCAAATTATGAGTTGCTATCACATGAACACAGACATGAGCATATGAAGCTGCCTTAAATTGAGTCAGACAACTGGTAGATCAAGGTCAATATTTTCTGCTCGGACTGGCAGTGGTTCTACAGGGTCTCAGATAGAGGTCTTTCATATCACCTACTGCCTGCTCCTTTTCACTGGAGGTGCCAGGGATTGAGCCTGGTACCTTTTGCATGCCAAGCAGAGGCTCTGCCACTGAGCCACAGCCCCTCTTTACAGCTCTCTCAGGCGGAGGCGGAGGTCTCTCCCATCACCTCCTGCCTGGTCCTTTCTAACTGGAGATGCCGGAGATTGAACCTGGGACCTTCTGCGTGCCAAGCAGAGGCTCTGCTTCTGAGCCACGACCCTTCCCGATGATACATGCCAGGCCAAAGCAGATGCGATGCCTGGAACAATCTGCATATAGATTTCTCCAGCAGTTTTTTAAAAAGATTAAATTGCCACTTTGAGAGATCACTTTTTATTGGGGAAACATGGTGGGGGTAGTTAGACAGTGGAAACCAGTGGCGCTGCAGTCCACATCCAGGGGCAGGAGGGAGGGGCAGTGGCTCAGTGGCCGAGCCCCCACTTGGCGCGCAGAAGGTCACAGGTTCAATCCCCGGCATCTCCACTTGAAAGGACCAGGCAGGAGGTGATGGGAAAGACCTCTGCCTAAAACCTTGGAGAGCCGCTGCCAGTCTGAGTAGACAACAGAAAAAGAGAAGAGATTGGATTTATACCCCGCCCTTCAGTACCCGAAGGAGTCTCAGAGCGGCTTACACTCTCCTTTCCCTCCCCCTCCCCACAACAGACACCCTGTGAGGTAGGTGTGGCTGAGAGACCTCTTTCGAGGACTGCTTGTGAGAGAACAGCTCCAAGAGAACTTGTGACTGACTCAAGGTCACACCAGCAGCTGCGAGTGGAGGCGTAGGGGATCAAACCCGGTTCTCCCAGATTAGAGTCCGCGCGCCTAACCACGACACCACACTGGCTCTCTCGATACTGACTTTGATTAACCAAGGGTCCGATTCAGTATAAGGCACCTTCCTGTGTTCATGTGAGGGCACAGCTACCGTCAGCCTTTGAAACTACATCTATTATTTTCAGATACTCTCCCTCCACACATCTAGTTTGGCAGCCCTTCAGAAAAGAGAGACGTGCTACAGACGGACACATTCTTAAGCACAGGTCAAGGTGGTCAGCCATGTTGGTCTGAAGCAATAGAGCAAAGTTAATGTCCAGCCGGGCACCTTTAGGTCCTCCAACAAAGTTTGATTCAAGGTGTCAGCTTTCGTGGGCATGCACGCTGTGTCATCTGAAAGCTCCCACCTTGAATAAGACTTCGTTGGTCTT